TTTTAAAATGAAACTGGATGTGGCATCAGTGCCATGGGCTGGGAACCACAGTGGTAGTGGATCAAGGGCTGGACTTGATGATCTCGGAGGTCCTTTCCAACCCAGCTGATTCTATGATTCTATGTTGTTCTATTGTCTGCCCAAGTGGGTAGCATTGCTAATTCCCCCTCTCCCATTCACAACTGATTCACCAATAAGATATATTTAATAATAAATACTGGCTTATTTTCTTCCACTTCATACTTTCTAAGCCTTCACTGTGCTCAGGGTGTTCTCTGCAACTCCAAACTTGACCACAAATTAGCTACCCTTCAGTGCTCCTCCCTCTCCTAAACTGAAATCTGCAAGTAACAGCTTGCTCTCAGGACACGAAGCTTCAGTTCATATCCTGAATATTTCTGGGATTACAAGTGAATTGTGAGACCTGACCAGTTTGGGGGGATTAATAGAGACAAGCTGATCGACTCGTCATAACACAAGGGACTTCACTGGGTAATTATTAGTTTTCTAGGTCATTCCTAAAACAAAAGCCTGTTCCTAGGTTTCACACTTTGTTACTTTGCTAAACTGCCCGAGATGCAAAGGCAAATATCCAGCAGCAATTATAAATATTGCAATAGCTATTTCAAAAGCTAAGGAGGACACTATTGGTCTTTTTTTTTCCTGTAGAGATTTTAGAGTTAACCACTGAGGAGGACAAAGTGCTCGGGATACACAGGAACCATCCTGAGTACTAAAATAAATTTGAGTAGCGTTTCTTCTTGTGGGAGTTAACCCACAGAAAAAATTTCCCCAGTGGACAAGTCACAGGAATGGCAAAGCCCTGCAAGGTTAGTTTTATTTAACCTGAGTCACAACCCCAAAGCAGGTAGAGACTCTAATCCAATGCCACAAAACATTGAGGTATCTGAATGTGGAAAGCCCACCTGAGCTGTGCTTAAAATTGGGGTCACTGCAGACATGAGAATCCTTAAAGATGCCTTTCTTTTCATGGCTTACTTTGAAATAGTTCAGATGTACAACAGTTAGGTGGTACAGCACGTCATAATTTCATTCTCCTTTTAGCCACTGCATTGTGTACAGCTCATATATAGCAAACATCAGAACAAGAAGGTCTTTAGATTGGCCCTAAAACAGCCATAAGAAACCCTGGTGAGCTGTTCCAAATTCCTTCTCTTGTTTTCTATTTAAGAAAAAACAAATTACTTTAGGAGTTAGAGCACTTTGGAATTGCTTAGATGTTTGGTAAAGGTGTGGTAATGACAATTCTTATACCAAACATACTTCAAAATAAGAACCTGAAAGTCTCAGGTACCCTGATAATATTTATTTGCAGGAGTTTGGTGAGTTCCTGGCAGAAAGCTACTGGAGGTAACATATCCATGCAAGAAATGAGCCGAGGAATTGAGACATTTGCCATGAAACCAAATTCTTAAGATGTCTAAGCATCAGGAGAAAGAGGCAGCTAAACTTCAGACATTTGATGGAATGTCTGGGCTGGATTTGGGAGCTTACAACAGCCACAAGGACTGCTCTTTGACCAGAACAGTTGGACATACTGATCTGGAGAGTGCTTGGCCCACTGCCAGGAGATATGAAGCAGGAATGGCTGGAGAATCCAAATAAGAGTGTGTCTGGCACACCATCTGCAAGGGAGGCGTAGCAGGGAATACATGTTCAGGATACCTCCTTACTCTGCCAGGAAGGAACAAGCCAGAGAGGAAGGGAAGATTTTTTTTTCCCCTCTCAA